AAAAAAAAAACACAATTAAAAAGTTTTATATTTTATATCAAAGTATCGGCCATCATAACACTATAAACTCAACTTAACAGAGAAAACATCATCTCTAGAAACCCTTGAAACGCAATTCAAAGCAGAACTAAATTCCGAATAATACGCTTGTCTTTATCATGAAATTACAGCCTAAATTCACATCTTTATGCTAAATTTTTTTTGCAACCCACAAGTTTCCAAGACAGCTTCAATCATCATCAAATCAATACTCTATAATAATACACATATAACATCTCATCAATTACGTTAAATAAGAAACAAAAGTAGATAAAAGAAAATCATCATCCAACACCTAACATCCAAATAAGCATTCCCAAAAAAAAATCCTGGTAAAAACAAAAAAGCCCCACAAGTAAAACTCTGAAAAAAAAAATACTTGACCTGCGCTTTCATATATTTATAAGGGAGATAAAAGCAATTCGACAATGTTATTCATGCATCCTTTTGCTTTAAACTGATTATTGTATGAAAACAAAGAGCAAAGATAAAGATAAAATAACCACTTGTATATGAAGAATACCAAGTCCCATGACAAAGTGGAAAAAGTGGAACTTTTACGTTTTTTTATAGGGATTAATATTGTTAGACCTTGTTTTAAAGTAACAACATAGATTATATACCTTTTTGTTTTTTGAGGAAGAAAACCACAATCACGCTCCCTGGAGACAATTATAACAATGATGGACATACAAACAAATAATAAAATTTTATTGTAACACATGTAGCTTGAAAGAATAAAATAATCATAAACAAACAATGCCATCATTGATCTTTCTTTTCCCTTGGAAAGTCAAGCCAACAATCAATCATTTACCAATATCCGAAAAGAAAAATAGGAATTGTTAGTTCTCAATGGCACAAAAACTAAATTATAATATGTCAAATACCTTCATTGATTACTTCATAAAATATAGTAATAAAATCTTGAGCAACCCCATAGTAGTGTTAATATGAAATAATAGTTACTTTGGCATATGAATCACTTACATACCTTATAGACTATCTGATTTGGTTATATGCCTTTCACGACATCGTCTTCAAGCCGTACATGTTAACAGATTATTGATCCCCTTTATAAGATTATATGCAACAAAGCAATCAAGAAAGATTAAGCTCGTCAGAATCAAAACCTATGCAATAGTTTGTATGACATTATGAAGAATAAATGACAATATGCATGACAAATAATTGATTATTGAATCCTTTTCGCAATTACTAATGTATCAAATAAATACATACTAAAGAGGATATTATAATACAATTCAAGACTTACAGTTCCTTTTTTAGTTAGGTCGGCCGCTCTATAAGTTTCGTAGCAATACCACCACAAAACTATGCCTTACCACTGCCTTCCACATAGTCCTTATGAACATTTTCATATGATCTATGGAGACCCCCCACAAGCATTTTCCTGCACAATCTTATCCAAAGAACTGAAACAAATTTACCTCTAATAGAAATTCCTCATCATAAACTGATCGAGCTTATTGTCGTCCCCCGGGCGGCCAAGGGTGGAGAATTTCTCACCCATCTGCTGCGACTGGGAGAGATGCAATGATAATCAGAAGCTGATGCACCAGCAATGAGATCCTCAGGAACGTCACGTACGACGACATGAGTTGCTCGTTAAACAGGTGGGTCATGCTATCCAGCTTTCACCTCTCGCTCTGCCACTCCATCGCTCCGCGTGGCCCATAAAGTGACTTGTTGTTGGTGTCGAGACTTGCCGGCGAGGGATTGGTATGATAAAGTGCAACAACTTTTTGCAACTTCTCCATGGCTAGGGTTTTGAAGAGAGGAGGGATTGATTTTCCGATTGTTGTTCTGTTCTCACACATCTCGCTTAAGAATTAAGCAAAAACTTTGCCATAAAGAAGATGTCCAATCGCCCGTACGCGCCACAGTAATTTCCATTATGAGGGATTCATAATTTACCACACTAACCCCCAAAAAGCTGATTAAAGAAGGGTTATTTAGGTGAATTTACAAACAAACTTTGGAGTACGACGTCGTTTCTTTGGGCAAAATTTATAAAAAAAAAAAGAATAAATAAATGCAAATAATCAGTCGTGGTAAAAATAAGGAAACAAGTCCAGCAAAAGATAGGCCACGTGGAGGCCTTAGAATTCAACTTGCTCAACACAGAATGTGCCACGTGTCAAGTAGAAAATGTCTCACATTTTTTCTTATAAGAATAAGAGAGATATAATAAAAGAAAACATAAAAAAACAATAAT